AGAGAAAAATATTGTGCTGCTTTTTCACGAAGTAACGCTGAAAAAAACCCAAAACGATAAGATATGTCATATAACAAAATATTGACAACAAATATGAAGTTGCTGAAAATAAAATAAAAACAAATCAATTGTAGAGATAACACCTCGATCGATTCGCCTTGGGTTTGTCTCTCTCTCTTAAACCTGTGTAATTCTTTTCCGTGTCGTTTCCTACTGCAGCTGTACCTAGTTTTTTGTCTGAGGTAATGAACGTTAATATCGCACCTTTACTCAAAACATTATTTTGTAGAAATTTTTATTCAAATATTTACCTTGGAAATTTTGAAAAAAAAAGTGTTCAAATATCAAAATTGGAAAAAAATATAATTTTGATTATAAATTTTCTCAGCCATCTTCAAAAAGGTGTGATTTTCACCATATCGTTGTCGCGTTGTGTTGTTAAAATCTGACATTTTATGAGTGAAAAGAGCTTGCTGTACTGAGTAGTAACAAGCAGGTGTGATGGTAATCCCCATCGGAAAAGTGACAAATATAACTATAGTATATGTATACATGTATAATTTCTCATCTGAAACATCTTTTCTGATTGAAGTGATTGCTTACTTTACGGACACATTTTAGGTATTTTTATGATACGAAACTTCAAATAAACAAGTAAACAAGCCTGCAATCGAAAGGCTGGGAGCGCTCCCTCGTCACGTGACCAAACTCAAGTCCATATCTTGTCCAATCGTCTGTTAATTACTTTACATGTACGGTTCACTCACCGCACCATGCTGATTAATATATGTAAAAATGTTTTATTTACGACGTTTGTGGTCTTCGTCAAGTTATTTATTTGTTTACTTAAAGTTTACATGGTTTTGCGTTCTCGTTACAGCGAAGGTCACACGAAGGCACTGTCCTTACAAGGGTCGAGGTCTGAGGTCACAAGAAGGCAATTCAGAGGTGCCATCTAACAACATAAACGCCACAACCGGGATACAACCATACTACAGCGCCTAACAAGATATTATTGGCAGGATGATATAGAGGAGGGGGTGGGGGAGGTATGTAGATGGTCAAGGTGATGCCGAAAAGAAACGGAAAGCTACATAATATACGTTGAAAATGATATAACATCTATTACCTGACAATATCTAAACGTAGCACATACGTAAAACAGGTGCGATAATAAAATATAGATATCAGTAGAACTAATGTTGAGGATCCAGGAGATGCCGAAGAGAAACGGAAAGCTACTTTATGAAACAAACAAGAAAATCAGATACATTCAATTTGTATACTGGAAAAAACATTTGTTATATTTGTACAGTCAAATTATCGTCCCGAAACCCCGTGTATCAAAATCCAAAGTATAATGCCAAATCGGCAAAGAACTGAAAGTGACAGTATAATAGTATGACTACTGTAGGGGGAGGGGGTTGATTGAGATATCTTATCTGGAGCAGGAGAGGTTCCCACACTTAACACGAGGCTTTCATGTATGCTGAACTTCAAAAGTCTTATCCAAGGATCGAAATTTTCATTTGTGCAAGTTTATCGTCCAGATGTGATGGAGTGTGGTCTACTTCAATTTCTAATCATTACAAATGTATGATCCGGAAAATGTTTGAAAAAGATAACCCATATTAAATAGACGATGTCCTTAGTACAGACATATCTCACAAGAGCAATAATGTTAACATTTGTGATTCAGAACTGTGTATACATGTAAATAGAAATGAAATTAGCTTTGATTAGAAAATTATTATCTTAGATGCATAATGCCGTTAATATCCATTCTTAAAAAGAAGAATTGTTCCTGATTATGTTTACCGTAGTCATTGAACGGGGATATTCTCTTTAGAAATGCTTTCAGTTTGCATATATATGAATTGTTTTTGCATAATTTGCGTCATTCCACCCATCACCCCAGAATTCGGAGAAAGTCTGGGTACGCAGCGCGCAATCGCTAACATTGGACACAAGTTTCAGAGGTTGTACTGGTACGCCAGGCGAAAATGATGACAGACAAGTGTGGCCCTTTATGGAATCATAGTGAAGACATGTTGGATAGATCTAGTGAAAAAGTACGACGAGGATTAATAGTATGTCCAACATTTTCTTGTAACTGGGTGACTGAGATGCAGAAAAGGCGAAGGAAAAGTTTCCTTTATTCCTGGTAATAATAAACTCCATGTGTAGCTCTAGAAAACAAAATTGGCGGCTAGTGTAGATGTATTGGCGCTACAAATAGAAGATCGGCTTCTAATGAACAGGGCGTTGAAGAATTGTCTAGGTAAACCTGTTATTATAAACACAAATCCTTTCCAACACGTTTGTTAAATACATTTATGATGTATTATTCAGTATTGTGATACATTTCTGGTGAATATTTAAGCACATTTGACAACACGCTTTGGTAAATGAACGCAAGTTTTATCTGAGACCTATTGTAGGTGTCCGGTTCTATTATCAGAACTATTTCCCCGTGTATTTTACATGACTGAATTCAGGCAATGTACTAATTTCCAAATTTCCAAGAGCTGGACAGGAATAGCACTAAAAGATATTTAAGGAGAAAATGTGAAGACTCTCAAGGCCAGCCTTGTGTTTAAAGACCACTGACTGTCTTGGCGGGCGTCGGTTCTACATAATACAGCATTTTACAATAACTCCTGTAATTTGTGATTGCTTTTCAGTCCATGTTGAGTTTAACTTCACGTTCTGAAACTTTTCTTGAAAGAAGAAAATATTTCTGAAACAACGAAAAACTTTAACGTACTCGACTTATGTGACGTTTAAATTGTGGAGACATGTACTCCCTAACATGAGTGCATTTTCTACAACTGAAATTATTTTGAAAGACACTATCTAAACACACAACGTTACCTCTCTGTACCATAAAACGTTGAGTGTAAATGACACAGTGTGTAAGACTGTCAACAAAAGTACTGTGGGTGGACCAGCTACCAGTATAACTGACTATACAAAACTCAATCAGTTCATTACCTACATGACACAACATCGAACTTCGGTTAACTTTTTATTGCAGGACAACATAACACAGCAGTGAACAAAACTTATAAAGCAAAGAGAGTAAATATAACAGTGTACACTGTATATAGTTATACAGTGACTTTACAATATCTATAATACAGAGTGAGTTATCATAACATGGTATATAATAACAGTGAACAGAGAAGAATTTTGAAAACAATAGTTTCATTTTTTGAGCAATTAAAGATATATTGAATATATGTAAATATGTATTTACTGATATGCACAGTAGTCCAGTGATTTTACCCCAAAATAATCCTAACTTTAAACTAATTCCAATAAAATTTATTTTTGGTATGTATTACTATTTAAACAAAGTGATCAGTTTTATAACAGGAAAAAAAAATTCTCCTGAAATAAAAAAAAAATCAGGAATATTTTTTGTCTGACTACAGGTTTAAGATCATAAGGAATGTCACCTATCTCTTACTATGTACATCTATCTGTATGAAAATCCAAAAATAAATTCTGTTGTAATTAGTCTGAAGTTCTGTTTATGATTGGACAAGAAACATAAAAATATATAAAACGTATTTTATCTACAGTATGTGTTTACATATGGACGAAATTATTGATAAAACATGTAAAGGATGCTGATTCAAAGGGAGATCACTCTTACATCAGTTAGGTATTAAATCAGAGGTAAAATAAACACGATTCACAGATAATGTAAAATGTAAAATTTTGCCAAAATTAGGATTTTGTCTTCTTAACTGATTTGGCATATTACTGCACATGGTGCTTCATTCTGATTTATTTTTTGTAAAAGAGATAGAAAAGCAAAAGAAACAAAAAAAAAAAAAAAAAAGAGAAATACAAACTAGAGGATCATTGAAGTACTCTGACTGGAACTTACTTAGCTGATAATAGACATGTTATACAAACACTTTTATAACAATAATTGATCCCTGATGATATATTACACTTGGGCAGTAGATAACTATTGCCAATTTTCAATAAAAACAAATCTATATTTATTTTACCAGATGAAGGAAAACAGACTAACAGTAAATATTGCAGACCATCCTTCCTCTGCTCCTGCATGTGGTACAATGTATATATCAAAATCTGATGTAAATATCACTTTCTTTACACAAAGTTTGCACATTTTTTTGTAAAACCAATAAACTAAAGTGTAACTGACTATATCATACTATTGTACATTGTATCAACAAAAAGAAAACAAAAAAAGTTTGAGCCAAAGTCAGTTCAGAGTGAGCTGGTTGATTAGTGAGGTGCTGTTCGTTGGGTGTGGATACCGAAAGGTATGCTGGGCAATGAAATCAATCACAACATACACCTAGCGTCACCAGTAAGAGGGATATTTATAGGCCAACTAGTTTCCTCTCTGATGCAAGGCTTTGTCAGGGGCACAATGAATATCAGACACAAAATTAGCTAGCCTGTAACTTTCCCACTGACCGGCGACACTTGGTGTGTGGTGTGATTGAAACTTACTTGGATTATATCAAAAATGTTCTAACATCGACACAGCAATAATCACAATATCACAACTGTAACCGTCATTCATTCAGTATTGCATCAATGATAAAATACAGGCTTTTACATTATTACTCCTGAGTCGAACCAAAATAATAATAATAATAACAGTAAAATAGCAAAGAGAAATTCGAGCATGACTAAAACATGAAATGGGAGCTAGACAGTAAGAGCCATTTGTACTATAGAAAGAGAACCACAACTACTATAATGCTGTGGGTTTTTTTGGACAAAATGAACCTTAATGATATTATACATATCGAATAAAAGAAAAGATTTACAAGTAGTGTAATTTTCTATATCAATAAGGATGTAATGCATTTGTTTCCTTTCATCAAGGAATTCATAAATGATATATAATTGTCTCATTCTCTTATGAAAATATTCTGTCTGTTTAAACAGAAATAAACCAAAAATATTGTACAAAATAATATGTGAAGAAATATATTGTTGAAAAAGTATGCACACAAAATATTTATACATCTGTTGTACATATGTAAAAGATAACAGAGATAAACATACACAAACATTAATGAACATCTATTGTAAACAACAAAGTCTTAAAATTCAAACATCTGTATGTTTGTCATAACTTATGTCAACCTTCCTTGTTTTGGTTTATGACAATAGAATGTAGACCTTTAAACACCTAACGATGTCAATCATCAGAATTTAATCACAAACAAATTTGTTTTAAACTTCTGGAGGTTTCATCTTTTGTTGACCACAATTTCTTTGAGGCTATTATTGTACAATATGCTAAAGGACTAACACATTACCTATAACTTAAGTCAGGAGGTGGACTTATCACATCAAATTGAAATAACATTTATTTGTAATTTTACTGTACAGCAGTTTGATATGTGTGGGCTTATAATCAGACGTTCCCTTATTGCCAAGTATGTAGGCTACCTGTGTTTCTAACACCCAATGACAGATATTTAGTCACCAGATGTACTTTTATTGCACAAAATTAAATAAAAAGTTTTGTTGTTGTTAACATTCTATTTATACTATATTGCTTTGGTAAATGTGACCTATTCTAGTCTCTGTACACAGTGTTCACAACAAACAGGTTACACATGAAAAGTCCAGAATGGGGAAATGAAATGTGATTGAGCCATATATTAAGAACGAAGAGAGGTATTTCATCATCATAATCTCAAGTGCTTTGTAGATATGAAGTAAATCTATGATGACAAATAAAGTACTGATGGAGGGATATAATACTGAGTAAAAAATCTTTCAGAACAAGGAACATACATGTATAATGGCAGTGAGATAAATAAGTTTCATCATATTCAGTATCTTAGATACTCCAGCTGAATTTGAAAATAACAAACCTGACTCGCTTACAGGACTTACATACAGCTGGAGACTTACATAAAGTTTGTTGATCTATCCGTCTTTTAATTTGCTTCTAGAAAAAAAAAGAAATCTGTTTTGTTTCCAACCAAGACGGCAGAAAATATGTGTGTAAGAAGTAATTATGTCTAAACAGTTAAATAATATGACATGTTTCCCTATTTTGCTGTAACGATGTATATTTTGATGACAAGAATATATAAAGAAAAGTCCTTAATATGTCTAATCATGCTTTCTTTGTCTTTTTCTTGCTTGACTTGGATGATCTTCCTTTGTGACTTGAGGTGGACTGTTTTTGAACCATAGCTGAGCTGCTGCGATGGCTGTGGGACCCCCTGTTATGGTGCTCCAGACTTTTCTCGTACAGTGGAACCATGCTGCGCACCATTGCCCAGTAGTTATTCTATTAAATGAATACAAAATAAAAAGACTTGTTATATATGAAATACACCATTTCATTGTAGCATGTGAAGGGAGCATCATTCCCTTGTGTTGCTACCATATCAGTATGGAACTCCTTAGATCCTTAGCCCTATCTTATGCAAATATTGAAACATTGTCTTTTCCAGGGATTTTGTTTATTTTGCAAAAGTCACTTGCCTAGTTTACTTTAGAGTGCTACCTCTTTGACATAAACAGACCAAATGACACCAGTCTTCAAATATGTAGCCTTAAATAGTCAGGGAATAGTAGAGCTGAAAAAGGACATCCCTGCTTAACTTCTTCAATACAAAGCTAACAATTTATCAATCAGTCCTCGTATATCTGTGATATATTACACTATTTTGATAAGAACTGTATGGGTCATTATATATTTTAGTAAGTATAAATGGATATATGATATTTTAGTCTTCTATGTATAGTATGCTTGCTATATCTTAATCTTCATAATTAATGTTGTTTATGTAATATTAATGTGAAATCATTCTGTGATATCTGTGTATATATTACTGCAGGACCATATTGTAAATTAGATATTTCTAAATATGTAATTCTGGATAAATAAAAGGTATTATTATTGAATAGTTTTCCAATGGAGTTAAATATTTGATTACCTGGAGTGTGGTCAGTCTTGGGCTAGGAGGAATTGCCGCTTCAGCCTCAAGTAACTCACCAGTATCAGCAATGTTCTGCAATAGAGCAGAAATGAGAATTTCTAGTTTCTACTATCTGTTTTATAATGAAACATGAGAATAGAACCATGATTAAAAAAATCTTCTAATTTTTTCTTACTACGTCACTGTCACTTTTCATTGTATATGTATTTGTCCTGTATCTACCTTTAGTAAATGACTATATTCACTTTACAGTTTCTAATCTGGAATTAAGCACATTCACTTTACAGTTTCTAATCTGGAATTAAGCACATTTATTTTGTTAAAGTCAAAATCCTGGCTAACAATTGTATAAACTTATATATTAATGATAGCATTGTTTCCTATTGAACTTTGATTTTCAAATTGTTGTTGATGCTTCATTTGTGTTATTGAGTTGCATGATTTCCTTCTTAAGAAAAAAAGACAAAACTTCTTAATACACGCTTGGGAACTTGCTGTGAAACATGGTGAATACTGTTTGTACAGTCTTGCATGAACGTCCTCAACAGACTTCATCCTTTGTCTCTTATGTGCACGAAACCTGTACTGAAAGTGATCATGATATGACCTCTTTAATTCGGTAATAACTAATATAATTCTTAAGCAAAGTCTCAGGAACATATCTGACATCCTTCACATAGCATTTCATTTCAATCATTTCATTTCAATTCAGGTACAACTTTTACTCATAACCTGCAAATGAGGTGTGAATTATCGATGTTATACCTGAAGAAATTGTTCATTCCTTAATCGTGCTCGCTCCCGCTCTGCTGTCTCTTGAAGTATACGACTATCCTGACTTCTTGTGTAAGATAAGCTATAGTTCATCAGAGCCTCCCTCTGGGTCAGTCTTCAAGAAAGAAAAGATGATGATGAAGAAAAGATGATGATGATGATGATGATGATGATGATGATGATGATGATGATGATGATGATGATGATGATGATTGTGTTAAGGTTTATTGCATGTATGATTTCACAAAAAAATCAAAACATATTGGAATGTGTAGAATGTGAACTAGCTGTAGATACAATTTCTTTCAAAATTTGAAAGTAATAGGCCTACGCCAGGCTACGGAATGCCCCCCTCCCTTTCATTCCATTTTCAAAACAACGACTGTAGTTGACTTACATTTCCTCGTGAAGTCTACTTAGCTGAAGTTCAGTTCGGGTCCAGTTCGCAAGCTTGTCATCATATGTTTCCACTGCGTCATATCTAGGATCTGTAGGTCGTTTCATGCCTACGGCACTGGAAGCAGTGCCTGCACTGCAGTCACTGTTATTCTTGTTGACGACGACGCTGTATGGAGAGTACCTTTTCAAGGGAGATAATTTTGAGAACAAAATGGTCTTCGTTAATTACGAAGTTTCTTTTTTCACGTCGATTACTTACATACTAATTTTTAAGCCAAACAAGGAAAAATTATATAACATTTATTACTTGAAAAAATAATCAAGGATGTGAAATAGATCTCATTAGATCATGCAAAATGGGGAAGACACATACACAGGACGGGACTACAAGTTTTGTACTACATCTATCTATCTCAAATAAACGCTTGATTGATATTACCCATTCGCCAAGTCTTTCAAACACTCGGTAATGTTTAGATCCAGGTTACGCAAAATGGACGACGGGGAGGCTGTAGGTCTGATTTCATCGAACATATCGAAAGCTTTCTATTTGTACACGAAATGGTAATCAACACAGTAACATAATGCATAATATGATATCTTCCAATCATATTGTATTTAAACATGACATTTACGCAGTCATATATGACTGACGAAGAACAACATGTTATGTCTGTAATGTACAGCTGAAATAACCCGGAGACTTTTTGTTGATGGTTATGAATTACAGGCTTCCACTTAGTGTTGTCTAGATGAGTGAATTATCTATTGACTGTGATCGGGGGATCAGAGTACGCGTATTCTGACCTACCTTAGTCAGTAAAACATAAGCCCTGATTATGCATGTATTCTGACCCAAAGTTGTACTGTAGTTTTAATGTTAGGTGACTTCTTTAGAAAAGCTGCTGTGCATAAATTATGAAACATAGTTAAAGTATTCTGTATTATTTTTATAAACTGACCTCAATTAGTGATGAAATGTGCCATTTTATGCAAAAGTTGACACTGACAATATAAAAATATCACAGGTTAATCTGGCTCCATAGAGAGGACTGTAAATAAATATGGGTAACTCTTACTTTTAACTTATCAAAATTCACAGAAAGTTCACAAAGTACTGTTTTTTTTATTTATAAATTTTAACAATATCTGGTTTACATTGCAGCAATCACAATCATGCACTTCAATTAATATGCAGGCAGCCGTTTGGATGTAGTATTTAATAGTCTGTTATACAATGTATTGGGATCATTACTTCTTGAGAAGTGCTGGATGGAATTTTCTCATTTCATATCCAGTTATGAAACTCTTCAGAAAAATATTTGAAATGCTGCCATCTTGGATTTCGGTGATGTAAGTTTGTTATTGCTAATTCTCGAGAAGTACTGGATGGACTTTAAGGGCCTCGTGATTCCTAGTTGTGCCCATTTGATTTAAGGACTGATCAGAAAAGCAAACTAGCATGGTGGCCATCTTAGATTTTGACAGTAAGAGTTTGCTATTTCTGGAGAAATATATTTGATGCATCTTTTTCAAATTTCAAATGTAGGTTTCATTGTCAATTGATAACCATCCAATGTTGAGAGTGTATATGTATCAGAAAACAAAGTGATTGTCATATGACAGGCCATCTTGGATATGACAAAGTTTACTTTTGTTATTTCTTGAAACGTAATGAAGAGATCATTCATATATGGTTTACCCTTCAGGTCATTAATTTACCTAATTTTGATCAGAAAAGCATAATGGCTAACAGGCAGACATTGTACAGTTTGTTGATTGAAGTTTATTTTCTCTATTTCCTGAGAAGCATGCATGTATTTACATTATTGATTTTGGGACTAAAAAAATCATCAGAAGTGTTGAATGGATTATTCTCACAATTCATTTGTTCTACTTGGTCCATAGCCTACTGTTCATATGAAGTTATTCCTTTTGAAACTGAGTAGAAAAAAAAAGTTTATTATCATTTCTGTTTCTAGGGTGGTACTCTCAATCAAATTTCATAAATTAAGAGTAAATATGAGGAAAGAGGGAAAAGATCCAACTCACTAAAGAACAGATAAAAAGCATACAATAGTGGGTTTCAAGATCCCTCTGGGATCTCACTGTTTTTTCTCAAACTATTGACATTCTGATTAAAATAGATAAAACATTTTATAAAGTGAAACCAATGCAGACGGCCATTTAGTATTATGTACCACATGAACATTCTTCTGTTATAAAGGGTTTTCAACAGCTACTGTCCTATACAAATTAATTTGTCTTGATGTAGTTTCAAGAAAATGGACTGTAATTACACAGTGTATTTTCTGTAACATGCAATTGATTATTTGTATAATCAACAGGGCATCGTGACAATTTGTTTAAGATTTGATTGTATAAAATTACTTACTATCAGTAATGATTATCATACCATACACTTAAGAATCCATCTTTTCGTTGCAGATATAACAAGGTATTTGCTACAATGGAAGACCAAGAAGATCTGGCTGAAAACCTAGCCTGTGTTCTTTGTCATGGACTGTGTGGTGATAGCACCTATTCCCTGATGAGCTGGCTCCGAGTGGCCACCATCAAAAGCGTACTGCAAGAGTCTATACCAGGAAGAGCTGAGGAATTTGAATCTCCATCTAAATTCATCTGTACCAGGTACAATTTTTTAGCCAGATGACCTGTAGTCATCATGCTTTGTCTGTCATGGTCCGCCATGCGCCATCCGCAGTGCATAAACTTTTGACATTTCAAACTTCTTCTCAAGTTCCACCTGTGGTATTGAGCTCAGACTTGCATGAAATAAGATGGTCCTTACCATGTGTTGTTATTTTTTGGGTATATTTAAAATCCAAGATGGTCGCCATCTTGAAAAAACATATTTTAAATTTCTTCTCCAGTTACACTGCTGCCATGGAGCTGAAATTGGTGGGAATGTTAAGAAAAGGTAGCCAACAAAACAATTTTTGATACAGCAGCCAGGTAGATCATTTTGTAACATGACTTTGCAATCATGGTTTTCCTGTCCAACATCGATTTCAAACTTGTTCTTAAGTTTGAACAGTTGGATTGAGCCCCAACTTTACTGTAACAAATTAGGTAACACTTGTTGCAGTTGCCTACTCCGCACCAAAACTACCAGCTTCATAGTAAGATTTTATTAAAGTAGAAAAAATAATCCTTCTTCCAGCTAAAAGTGTTTGTAGTCAAATGACTGTTAAAGCCCATGGGCCTCTTAATAAATTAATGTTTGTGAGATCGAGCATTGGTGCCTGTGTGATTACCATATGCATTATGATCATCATATGATGAATCATCACACATACATACTGTGTATTTATTCCTAATTAATACTTTTTTCTCCATTCTTGAAATTCAAGGGTTTTTGATCACTTACAACCCATACAAGTTGGAAGTGATCTTGATTGCAACCCCTGAAATTTCGAGGATGCTTTCAGTTGCAGTTGTTTTCTTTTTCATGTCATAAAAGTATTACTGTTTTTAAAGATAAAACAAAACTTGAATTGTGTGGCAGCTGAAATCTAAAACGTAGCAGACAGGATGGGCACAGGACTTGTACATGTTTGGCAGATCTATATTACCATGAATTGTTTGTTTTCTTGGTCTTTAGCCTTGTGAACAGAGTGATTTTGAGGTACAGTAGTTGGTGATTTCCTCATGGGAAACTTGTCATAATGAATATTCAGAGCAATAAGGTTAAAGTGTTTTGTCCAAGGCGAAACCATATCAGCACAGACTGGTTTGTTTCTCAACTTCGTAAAAAACCCAAACTGCCATTGATAGGGATCATCACACCACACACCTTGGGGTTATTTAAGCCAACATTCTCACCAATGAGTTATCTTAGCTCCTTAACAAGCAAGATCATTTTGGGCTGGGTCTTCTTATAGTGTCTGGTTTGTATCTCATTCCAACACATACAGGGGGCTCTTTGCAGCCATCCAGAGCAATAAGGACATTGTCTTGTCCAAGGACACAACGACAGCAGTACCGACTAGTCTGTTTCTCAACTTCCTGAGAAACACAAACTTCCAGGGATAGGGAGTTTTAAACTACTCGCCACAGATCTTCATCAGAGGTTACGTAGGCCAATATTCTACCAACTGAGCTATTACAGCCCCAGTATCATAAAACTTGATGATGTACATTTTGTTTTGGTGGACAGCTTACTGTCAAACCATACACCTGTGTATATGTTTGAAATACACTATGTATTACCTCAACCTACATATCACTGACTTTCATGCCAATAGATAGAAATTAAATTTGATTAATCATCACTTCTTCAAACAAAATATCCAAGTAAAGTGAAATTCAGGTTTCTGATGAATGTTATCATTTACATACAGTAAGTATTTCACAGACATGAGACTTGTACACATTTGATGCCTGTAATGATAGATTTTGTTTTGGTTTTAGGTGTTACCATGCGATGGATGATCTTGTTAAGAAGAAACAGGAAGCTTCTGAAGCAGAAAGTTTTATACAGTCTTTAGCCATGTCAACAGAACAACAAACACCAATAAAACAGGAGAAGAGCACCTGTATGTCTGTCATCACATTGCCGGAGAATAAAAACAGTACTCCACTGAAATCCGGTGAACCCAAGAAAGGTGAATCTAGCAAAAAAACAGAGAAATATAAGACATTTTGTAATTAGGTATTTGTGATGTCTTTAAATCAACCATAAAGAGGTTAGAGTTTTGTAAATGAGCTGAAAGTAATTTTTATGTCCTGTTTTTGACTCTGATGAAGAGGATCTTATAAGATCCGGTATCAGTTAATAAACTTAAATTAATTAGTGTGTACAATGAAATAACATTTTGTCTTTATAGTATTTACATTTTTCCTTCTTGTAGATATTTAAATCTTCATCACTTCAGTTTTAATATTTTTATATTACAGGTGCTGAAAGTGACAGCAGGAACAAGAAAGATTCACTCTTCAAACAACAATCTGTGACATTGACAAGATCAGGAAGAGAGTATGATAAGAGGAAATTGCCAAATATGAAAAATGACACACCACCTGTACCTAAAAAAACACTGAAGCAAACAGAGATTGATTCCAGTTCAAAACAGTTGCCAAGTACAAGTAAAGGGTGCCAGAAAACTCTGCCTTCTAGAGGTCAAGTTAAGAACACTAAAACTTCTGAAATTAATAAAAATTGGAGTCAGGGACAAGGTAGAAGGAGAGGACGACCCAAAAAATTATCAGTAGGCATTCAAGCTTCTGAATCATCTAAAATTTCAGATTCCATCACTAGCACAAATCAAAAAAGAGGGAGAGGCAGACCAAAAAAATTATCAATAAGCACAGCAACTTCTGGATCTTCTAAAGCTACTGGTTCTGTCATCAGCACAAATCAAAAAAGGGGGAGAGGCAGACCCAAAAAAGTAACCAGCAAAGATCTATCAAACAGTGGCATTGATTTTAATGTCACGAAAGACAAAGAAATGTCCTCGACTGTTCTTCATAATAACAATTCATCCATGCTTATAACAGGTATGTTAAACATGAATGATCAGAGACATTCTTTGATGGAAATGGAAACACCAGCAAACGAAGGAAGAAATGGACAGGAAACAAATGTGTCTGATGTAGTAGGGGAGATAACCTCAGATCATTCCTATCATTTTGGAAGTCCAAGAGTGTCTGGACAAGAAAAGATTGAAAGCAACCAACTCAAAGATATATCAGATGAATTTGAGTGCAGGAAAGCTGGTTTTACTGAAGGTGTGGAAAATGATGGAAATCGTTTAGAAAATGAACACAGTGATGATGATCATGAGGATTTAGAGACAGAAGAAACTGTTTCTCCAAACAGTAGTGAAAATATCAGTAATGACAAGAGAAATCCATGCACACAACAAATGGATGAAAAGAGGATGACAACAAGAATCAGATCTGGAACCTTAGCCAGAAAATTTGTAGTGTTAGACAGAGGAAAACTTTCAAAAACAAACAAAGTTGTAATGGACAAACAGTCTTTACAATCAGGTAAAACAGTTTTACAATTAAATCCAGGTAGAGATTGTAGCAGTAGAAGTTCACCAAAGAAAATAGTGTTTCTTAAAGCTAGTGGCTTAAAGGCAAAGAAATTAGAGGCCAGATCCAAGGAAAGTGAAAAACAACTTGACAAAGGAAGCAATGAAGGAAGCACTGATTATAATGCTGAAGGTAAACGTATTTTACCTCTTCCCAAAATCAAGCGAATCAGGAAAAGACGTAAGAATGTTGATTCAGAGGAAATCATTGTTAACCCAGAAATATGGACTTGTAGTCAATGTAAAGCTGTTAGATATGAAGAGAATGAAATACGGGATCACATTCAAATAGAACACAATATCACAGAGACTGAAAAAATTGATCAGTGTTTGTCAAAAAGGGTTGTCCGATTTGTTACACAGAAAAGTGCAAATGCCAACACTAAGGAACGCTGGTGTAATTCTATCAAAGCCAAAGAAATAGTGTCATTTACATGTATGATTTGCAATTTGAAAATCAGCAGAGAAAATAATGCTTTAACTCACGTTCATATGACCCATCATAAAAATAGAAATGATGCTCCCAATTATGTCAAGAGAAATGTTAGTCTTGAAAAATCAGACAAAGAGGGCTTGTTCTCAGAGAATGATGTGAGTGGAACAAACCGGAAAAAGACAAAAAAGACTGCGGAACAGATTAAAGAAGAGAAACTTAAAAGACGTAGAGTTTTAAGGCTTGTGAAAGAGCAATTTCAGACCAAAGTTCATAAGTGGAAATGCAAGATATGTGGGCAAATGTATGTTTCTAAATCTGCTTTAAGGCGACACATTGTCAAGCAACACATTGTGGCAGATTGTGATATCAAAGCAAATACAATTCGTGTACTAGTAGACCGAGAGGTAAAAACAAGTTTAGGGGATGAGGATGAAGATTCCTCACTGTCAAATAACAACGAAAATGACGATGGTTCAGGAGATGTCCAATACTTGAAGACTGCATACTCTGAGCAAACCAGAATGGAGGATGGAAAGAAGGGAGCTATTTCAGGACGAGGCAGGCTTAAACATGGACACAATAAACCCTGGAGGTGTGGGTTATGTACTATTTACTACTTCCACAAGTGTGACGTTTACAGACATCTGATTCAGAAACATGGATTGACACGTGAAGATGCCAAGTCTCATGTAATTCAGGAAAAATGGCAGGAATCTACAAATAAAAAATACTTTGCTACAAAAGTTGAGGTTTACACCATCAACAACCCAGAGGAAGAGGATTATGAGAAATCAGCCGACACTGAAGGCGAGGAAGAATTGGACCCATACAACGAAACACAAAAACCATGGAAATGTATTAAATGTGGAAAGAGACTTCCAACCAAGAAGGCTGCATTACGACATATGCGCTTCCCTCATGAAATATATGGACCATGGGCAAGATACCATGTACGACAGATTGCTCCTGAACAAGGATCAAAGTCAAAGAAAGTAGAAGATGAATTCCACCTTGATCGAGACCTGCTTTGTGTACTCTGTGGACGAGATTACTTCAGTCAAGTGCAAGCCGCACAACATATCAAGGACTGCCATCCTGATATATCGGACACCATGACAGATGATGTCCTTTTAAAAAAATCACAGGGTTCAAGACTGATCGTTTTATCCCTTCCAGGGGAGGTAACTAGAAACTATCATATCGATTCCAAAGGAAGAATCAAGGAAGTTGATTTGGAAAATATACCAAGTTTGAAACAAAAATCCAGCCAATGGGATAAAAAGACATTTACCTTTTTTGACGAGGAGATGGTAGAATCGGAAACTGAAATTATTGATGAAGAACGAGAAACATCCTTAATCACTTCTTCTGAAGAACTGACCATAACTCATGCAGACATCTTTTTCCTGAACTGGGAAAATTACTGCCATGAAGAAGAAAGCACTGAATTGGTAGTTCAGGACGGACAACCATGGCAATGTAGCAGATGTCAGAAAGGGTTATCCAGTAAACTGATAGGAGTTCAGCATGTAGCCCATGTACATGACATCAAAGGTCCTTGGGCTCGACACATCTTACAGAAAACTAATGAATGGAAGAGCCTATTAGAAAAAACCATTCTACCAGAACGTGATTGGCTCTGTGTGTATTGTGGGCGGCACTACAAAACCATAGAAGATGCCCATCGGCATGTTAAAGGATGGCATCCGATGTTAACGGCAAAGGTACAGGAAAGCCTGGTACTTCAGAAGAGTGGGGGATGTAAAGGTATCATCCTTACCACAGGTAATGAAGAGAACCTGACTTTTCTCATTGACAGTTGTGGAAGAATCAAAGAAGTGGACACTAAATCAACAGACTTTGAAGATTTTGTCAGGAGATGTTCTTTTGATTGTCAACAAGACGATAGTGGGACAAATTTAGATGAAGAGTTTGATGTGCATTTTATTGATACAGATGACATATACACACACCAGGCAGAAAGAAAACAGGAAAAAAGAACGTCATCCAGTCAAGTTATTAAATCCCAGAAGATGGTTTCTTTGTTAAGTTCTAAAACAATCATAGCTAACGAACACAGGGAATCAGAACATCAAGAAAATATTACAGACATGACAACAGCTTCTCTAACAACACCAAACTCATTTACAGACATGACAACAGCTTCTCTAACAACACCAAACTCATTAGACTCTTTAGGCACTACAAGGGAGCAGAGAATATGTAATTATAAATGTTCAAATCCAAATTCTCAAAAGAAAGAATATGTGTGCCAGTCCTGTCCATTGGTATTTAGTTCCAACAAGCATGCATCGTATCACCGACTGTATCACAGGCATGCGGTGCGATGGCGTTGTCGGAAGTGTGGAGAGGCATTCTACTACATCAGTCACTTGGCAGAACACATCAACAAAGTTCATAATGGAAGCTTTCTAAGCATCATTCTAGACATGGAGGAAATTCTTGACAACAAACCTAACCCCAATTCGTTAGCTCAAAATAACAAAAATCATACAGAGTCCATATCAGGAAAGGAAGCTCTCATAAAAAATTTGACACAAAATGGAGTGTCTGACGCAGTGATTAACACTATCTCTTTTGTCACAAGTGAAGACAATAGAGAAGAAGACATCAACAGGGGACAACCTTCTTCAGCTGCCACGAACGATGAAAAAGAGGAGAAAGGTTCATCAGAAGATGTAATTGTGGAAGATGGTTTAAGTGGTGCAAAAATCGATAAAGAACCTGACAGCCAATACCCTGATGAACAGGACAACTCCAGCGAGCAGGAAGAAGAAGGATTAAGTGATCAATTAGATTTTGAAAGTGGAAATTACAATCCAAGTGAGAAGAGAAAAGGAAAGATTTCCTGTGAGGTGTGTGGTCTGTTTGTACCAGTTAAAAGTATGCAGAGTCACATGACTCTGTTCCATGGTGTCATGACTTATCGATGTATGGAGTGTCATCAGAATTTCGTCTCACTTGAGGCTGTTGATAACCATGTACATCAGGTTCATGAGGGAAGGTTCGACAATGACAAAAGAGTTCATCCCTGTATTATATGCAACACTGTTTGGAGAAATAGACCTGACCTTCTTGATCATCTGGACAGACACAAGGCTGATGGCTGCTGTTGTACTGTCTGTGGAGAGGCATTTCATAACATGAATAAGCTTAAGAGTCATATGTCTGTACACAACTCGTCTTACCAGAAAGGCAATGATAGACATCAGTGTTTTATCTGTGGAAAAAGCATAGTCACAATGAAAAACTTTATAGCACATACACGGAATCATTATGATGAGCATCACAAAAAGTTTCAATGTGAAGTCTGTAAGAAATTTGTGAAAACCAGGTCATGTTTGGCTGAACATATGAGAAACCACACCCATGAAGATATGCTTTGTCCGTATTGTGCAAAACAGTTCACTTCCCGAGTAAACTACTTGCGGCACATTAAATACCATGAAAATCCGGAATTGTTTTCATGTAAAGAGTGTGGTTTGCAGTTAAGTACATTGACTGGATTACGTCGTCATCAAAAATTTCATCATACTGTTGGACTAGGCAAAACAGTATGTCATATTTGTGGCAAAAGTTTGCGGAATCTAAAATGGCACGTCAAGCATGTACACGGTGACGAAAATCGAAAATCAAAAAGGCCACCAAAGAAAAGTCGTACATGTGAATTTTGTGGCAAAGTTTTTAGGCTTCCTCACATGATGGAGAGACATAAAGTTGTCCACACTGGAGAGAAACCATTTCAGTGTCATTTCTGTAACAAAACATTTAGCTTCAGAACATCATACAAGGCACATCTTAATTCCCATCCTGAGTATATGCCATACAAATGTGCTGTTTGTGACACCCAGTTCCAGATGGAGAAGGATTTCATAGATCATCGAGCACAATGTCGAGGTGGACAAAATGGAGTTGAATTCCCCTTTCAATGCGAGGTCTGTAAACGTGTGTTTAGGTCAACTAGGTCGTTAAGAACACACTTGGACAGGAAACACCAAATGGAGAAGCACAGCCAGCTGCCAGGAAGTATGCGACACTACTGTCAAATATGTCAGAAAGGCTACTTCTACAAGGATTCTCTCACCAGGCATATGTATTCAGCTCATAGAGAGAGAAAAGAGGAAAGTGTCATTGATGAAAATATTATCATTGAGGAGACCAGTGCACCACAGGAAGAGAACAAGGATATTCTGAACTCCACGTATAAATGTGAGCTTTGTGGTAGTGAATTTAATCTCCTGGAGCAGCTTAATGAACATGTGGACACACATCACTCTGATCCAGGGTCAGGTATCAACATTCAAGTATTTACTAAACAACAAGATGGAGTACATGTGAATGACCTTGATAATTCCAGTGTCATTACAATAGAAAATGAAGAGGCAGCACAGCTACTTAGTCAACTGCAACTACAAATGGAGGATGGACAAGAGATGGTGAATGTGATCATTCCTATAATCAAATGATGTGATTCAAAGAGATAAAACACAACTTTTCTGCTATTGGTTATTTTGAAAAGCAATCAGTCTTAATGATATATTGATCCATGCTTAACACATAAAGGCTTTCACTTCAAACTGGACTAGATGTGAATGCAAAATAAGTGTGAATTACCCTGTTTTTAATATACACTCTGAGGTACAAGGAGATTGGTCTACTGTATATGTACCAGTATGGATGGGCTTATTACCAGACATGGGCTTGTTGTCAGATAAATAAAATAAATCCATACTTGGTTTTCATCATATATTGACACAGCATGTATATAAATTCACAATGATCCTGGACACTCCATGGGATATGATCACTTTTGCTTTCTGCACTTATGGAACATGTCATTGCAAAATTGAAGGCACAAGCAAACTAATTTGATTGGTCTAGAGCAGGTTCCAGGAGAAAGAAACTGACCAATCATAGACTAATACACTCCTCTGAAGAATACAAAGGAGAAACACTCTACTTAACAGCCAGAACAACATTTGTTTGATGTACATCGAAGGAACAAACTTGTCTTTTTGTCTTGTCCACAAGATGTAGCACATGCAACCTTCAGTTTTGCCATGACAGTTTTAGAGGTGCAGAGCAAAAGTGATTGTAACTCCTGGAATATCGAGGATGACAATGATCTGGTTTTGTTTTTTCTTGAATTTCCTAGTCTGATATATATATAATCATACCTGTGTTCAGATTTTTGTGAAATGAATTAAAATTTTGGATAACTTCATTTCATTTTTTTAATTGAAGTGTGTGTGATGGAAACTCAATTCATTGGTGAAGCATTTATTTTTAGAAACCAGTGAACATAAAAAAGATCAAAGATTCAAAGTAAGCATTATCAAACCCACTTTTCCATCAATTGATCTTACAGCTTAAAAAGTTGCTTTTCAGCAAGAATATTACAAAACAAAGTTTAAAAAAAAATAAAAGAAAGAAAGAAGAGAGAAAGAACTGTACATGGTTACTGATAAATGATATGTAAAAGAAAAAATAATGTATAGCTAATGTGTGAAAGAGAGAAAAATAGGTCTTCCATGCTGAGTCAACCAATAAAATCTGTAGATACATGCATACATTTGAATTTGTCAATCTCAGTTTTAAACTTTCGTTTTGTTTTGTAAATACATGTACTTTCAAATTCCCATAACACAGAATTCTGATTATTTTTTTTGTGTGGAAATAACACCGGTGAGTGGTGATTCATTTGAAATGTTGAGATTTTTGCATTCATTGACTATTCTTAGTACATGTATCTTATAGTCATCTTCCAAAGTCCTAGATATCAAGTTGTCATTTTTAGCATCAATAATACATTTATGGTAGCCATAATACAAGTTACCTTGGAATTTAATTTCATAGTTGTTATACTAAACATACGCCTTGATCTTGTGAAGTTATAAAAATCAAACTTACAGAATGTAACTGTATATATTATCTACTTGCTGTTTTCATTGTTATAATTATACCATCTTTACTTAGCAGTGTGTATTTACCTATAACTCTATACTGTAAACATGGTTAATTCTGTGGGCAGTTGATTTCACAATTTTTTCGCGGGTTATTTTTACAATTATTGAACCTTCTCATATCAAATGTACACACTTCAGTATGTATAGTTCAATATGTTTGTGATACATCACTAATTCGTAAGCTTTGGTAAAATTTACGTGATCAAAGGACTGCAGTATATTTAGTTTTTAGTGTAGGCCTAAATTCCCCCCAAACGTTAATTTCCATGTTTACTGTACATACGTAGTTATATACATAACCCAGACAACTTTGCAATATTCTGTACTTACAAATTCATTGTACTACAGACACAAGACAAAGAATGAACATCTGAAATATACAGTGTATATCTGAAGCAAACTACAGTTACCTTGTTAATACCTTGTCATTCCCTGTTGTGCTTGTTTAAACACACTACATTGTGAGGTGCTCCTTTAAAACATACTTACCATGTTGAAATTCTGACATTTTCAGTAATGAAGTTCTAATCAATAAAACTGCTTACTATGAAAATGGATGTTTGGTTTTTTGTGGTAAACCCCCTAAAATACTGTAACCTTTGTTGTTAGAAAGAACAACCAAGACCGGATTCTCTTTCTCCGCTCATTAATTCAGTGGATGAATACAGTAATAGCCTGCAATATATAGCAGACAGGTTATATTATGACTAATTTAATTTACAACAGATAAAAGAAAGGTAGGATACATTGAATATGAAACCGATAGTTGTTCGTACTTACCAGAGAAAGAACGAAATACAGAGTGACAGGTTGGGAATAGTTGTATTTATTTCGTTTAACTGGTTTAACGCCCATTATTACCGTCTTTCAGTGGATGAGTATAAGACAGAGACGGGTGAAAGTGAATAAGCACACATGCGCAACTTGCTCACTATCACACCAGATTCACAGCACAAGCTAATTTCATGTCTGCTGATGGCAATGTAAAACAATTAACACCTGGTTACCATTTCTATGCGAGATAAAGTCATCTAAAGTTTCCAACATGATCAGATTGTTTCAGAGAAAGTTATACAAATTTCGGGTAGTAAGAGTTGTACAAAAATAATTTGCTGAAATGATGATGCCAACATTCATATGAAAATTATTTATAACTTGTTTCTTATAAGCGCTTTTTTGCACATATCATCACATCAAATCGCCCTAAGTCCGTTGTCAGTTGTCCGTCTGTCTGTCCGTAAATATTTTTGGTTATCGCTATTTCTTGAGAAGTGCACATGCTGGTTCTCATTCAATTTTGGGACTAATAAGAAAATAGCCAACAGGTGGCTACCTTGGATTTTTACTTTGCAAGTTTGTTATCACTATTTCTTGAGCAATACATGATGGATCATTCTTAAAATACCTATATGGGTTCCATTGGTCCGTAGCTATGTTCTTTAGATTTTGGGTCTGATCAGAAAAACAAAATGGCCGTCGGGCGGCTATCTTGGATTTTTACTTTAAACCGATTTGTTATCATTATTTCTTGAGAACTACTGGAGGGATCTTTCTTAAATTTCATATATATGCTGTCCCTGGTCCGTAATTATGCCCTTTTGATTTTGGGATTAATCAGACAGGCGGCTTTCTTGGATTTTGACTTTTGAAAGTATGTTATCGCTATTTCTTGAGACCTACTACATAGATCTTTCACAAATTACATGTGTATGTTTCCCTTCATCCCAAGTTTTGCTTGTTTGAGTTTGGTACTTAGCATAAAAAGGAAATGTCCTACAGGGGCCATCTTGGACTTTCACTTTGAAAGTGTGTTATCTCTATTTCAAGAAATACTGTTTAGATATCTTTTACATTACCTATGCAGGTTCCCCATTGTCTGTAGTTATACTCTTTTGAGAACCACTGGAGGGATCTTTCTTAAATTATATGTGTATATTTTCATTGATCCCTAGTTTTGCCTGTGTTAGTTTAGTACTGATAAAAACAAAAAAAATGTCCTACAGGCGGCTATCTTGGAGTTTGACTTCGAAAGTTTGTTTTCTCTATTTTAAGAAATATTGCATAGATCTCTTTCAATTTGTATATGTATGTTTCTTTTGGTCTCTTCTTGTGTACGGTTGATTGTGGTACTAATCACAAGAAACAAAATTGCTTCTGGGCGACCATTTTGGATTTGGGAGGTAAATATTATCATCGCTATTTTTTGCAAAGGGATGTTTAGATTTCAAACTTTCAAAAAGCAATCAAGATCTCTCTTGTCAAAGGCTTACCAGACCAAAAAGTAATTATATTTCTTCTCGTTTGTAACTTGCTGAAACGTCAGGATATTTTCAACAGACAAATCAGATTTATATCAGACACAACTGACGGAGACTTTATATTTGATATTACTGTTATGATACAGGCCTAAAGTACAGTCACGGAGTGTTTTCGTTGTTGTGAGACATTCGTTTATAAACCGTTAAAATCGTTAATTGTGTACATTTGTATGGAACACTTAAAATGTATCCATTGACCTATTTACTTCTGTGAATTATCATAAACCGGTGTGAAATGATGTCAAATTGTAGCGTGCAACCTACAGTCACATGCTTACTTCCCCTTTAGCTATTTCAGACCTTTCGGATTTTATCGTAGTTCAAGACCTATATTCCGAAGTGTTCTAGGGAATTCACGTGCTGAAGGGCAAGTAAGTAAACAAATCAAAACAGGAAAACAAATTAACGAAATTGAGCTTATTTTGATAACTTATGCGAAGATGGATCATGATTGAATTTCGTTCGGTATCGCACAGACTGTCAAATGTTCCTAAAGTGTGTGCTATTGATAATGTAACTGCTATACGATATCCAGAGATTATAAACACACAGGGGTACAACAGATGTAAGACCACTGTTTTATTTTCATGATTTAAGCATACTTTGAAATTTGTTGTCGATTGCACGACAGTCGACTGAAAGGTGTGGACTGATAGTGCAGAAGTGCAACGAATTCTGCAAGGGAGGTGATTCGTGAAAGGAAATGTATAGAAACGATTAACTAAATAGGATACCACAACTTGTGTGGAAAGAACAACCATTTTAATTTTTATTGAACAGATGCTGTCCTTGAACTTTAATTATATCAGGACATGAAAAAGGAATTATATACAGTATTAAATTAAATGTTTGTAGTAAATCCAGCTTATTTATAACTATTCTAACATTAAGTTACAAAATTGATTGTATTTCTTTCCAGGGTTACGTAAATTTAATGATGCTTTCTTGTCCCATATTCGTTAAGTAATACAAAAGATACGAATTATTGAGTATGTATATGTGTATGACAGTTTTTTTTGGCATATCCATTTAAATGACCATTCACTTTTAATAGTGATATAGTGACGCTGGCAGGTGCATGTTTTGCAGTAAAATAACCAATAAGCCCACTTGTTTGTCAAAGATTGATCACGACATACAGCAGATATATCATAATCAATCCGTGACAAAAAATGGAAGCTAGCTCTTAGACCAGCAGACATACAAAAATACAACCAGTATGTCATGGGCGGACACATCAACAATAAAGATCTCTAGCTATATAGGTCATCAGATGCCTGGCCCATACCAAAATCTGCTCACAATCTGTCTCTGATCAGGCCATGAGATTTCAGGGATTAAGTTGAGAATTTACATAGGCGGCTCATGTGCGTTTTTAAAAGCAAATGAGTCTTAGGTGAGTGTAGATCACATGAGAAATATGTATTCTGCCAAATCTTAAATATGCTGTGTGTATTTGATCTAACTGCATGGTCTCTTGAACTTTGCTAATTAAGCAAAACTGGACTTTAAACATGTATTTAAATGATTGCATAATATTTTCTGGCAGATATAAACAGCAATTGTTTCAAAAATTATCAATGAGGTACATGTAGTGTATTATCAGCTAAGTGAATTACTGACAACTCTAGTCGTCTCATCATAAAAACAACACTTACTATTTTGAGGAGACCAATGACAGCACATACACAAGCATATTTATATTGTATTATATCACATTAATTCAGTAGAAAGTTCTTTGAAGCATACAAAGGACATAACCTTATGAAGTTCTAGGATAATGATATCTAGTGCTACATTTGTCCTTGAATCCCATGTAATTCTAAAGCTGTGTGCATTGAGATACACTGCCATTTTCCTACATCAGAAAAAAGGGCATTTAGATTTTAGGAGATAAGTATGAGAGTGAGCAGAGTTACTAACATGAACAGACTCACTAACATGATCAAAGTTACATTAAAATTAACTAAAATCACAAACATAAGTCACTAACATAAACAGAGTAACTAACACGAGTCATTAACATGAGTCACTAACATAAACAGAGTCACTAACACGAGTCACTAACATGAGTCACTAACATAAACAGAGTCACTAACACGAGTCACTAACATGAGTCACTAACATAAACAGAGTCACTAACATGAGTCACTAACATAAACAGAGTCACTAACACGAGTCACTAACATAAGTCACTAACATAAACAGAGTCACTAACACGAGTCACTAACATGAGATTGTATAGGCATTCTTTTTGCAGTGGGAGCAAAACCTGAACATCAAAGTGTTCATTTAATTTACTAACACAAACTAACTTGCTACTTGTTAGCAAAAGTCATTTTACATACATTTCTAACTTATTTCTTATATGCTGCTTACTTACTGCTCATGACCATCAGCTGCTCATGTGCAGAAGTAAGCAACTTTTGTACGGGTCATATAGAATTCCTGCTTTGCATAACTACAGAATATCAAGAGGAGTTGTGCAAACTAAAACACCTTACCAATAACTCCTCACTAAAGAAAACAAAATGGTTGACAGATGGCCATGTTGGATTTGTAAAAATATAGGTTTGTGCGATCCTGAACATGGAAATAAGTATGTGGTTTGCTATCACCACAGAGGCATGTACCACTATTTCTGTTGGATGAGGCTTGTGTAGTATACTGTAGGTACTATGACATGCCCCTTTTCCAACAGATATTGTTTTATGACCCTGTTGTTATGGCTATTTCTCGAAGGAACATTCACAAATTTTGTTTGTAACTTATTGCCAGTCATCCTTAACTTTACATGTTTGATTTTAGGACTGACTAGAAAAAAAAAATGTCAACATGTCAGAGCAGCATGAATTCTGACAGTGAAAGTTTGTTATGACTATCTTTTAACGTTCTGAAGTGATAAAAGAGATAAAAAGGTATGTTTGTTTCCCTGGGTCCTAGTTTTTGCCCATGTTTGATCTATCAAAAAAGCCAAATGGTTGACAGTGGGCCATCTTGATCTAGATTGCTATTGATAGTTTCACAAAGTACTGGATGAATTGTTATAAAAATTGGTTTATGAATTTCTTTTGGTCGGGACATGGGTCTTGAATTTAGCAACTAATTTAGAACAAGATATAAAGAATGACAGCTGACAGATCAATATATGATGATTCATGTCATTGATGCAGGTTCTTGAAATTTTTGAAAGTATAATTTCTCTACATGTGGGTTGTGTTTTAATGTGTTGTTA